GTAGAATTCCAGATCAGACCTTGTCTCAAACACTAAAAAAAAAAAAAGTACTTATTTATTTTGTGAAAAAGTGGTTGTGATGGGAGTCTGCTCTCTTCTTCTACCATGTGGGTGCCAGGAGTTGAACTCAGGTCGTCAGGCCTGGCAGCAAGTGTTTTTACCTACTAAGACATCTCACCAGTCCTTAGTTCTTCACCAGCGTTTTCCCCATTGGCTGGGGCCCGACCTGTTTTTCCCAGTTGGCTAGGCTAGTTTAAACGAACGGAAGGGAGCCAGGCATGGTAGTGCACACCATTAATCCCAGAACTCAGGAGGCAGAGGCAGGCGGATCTCTGTGAGTTCAAGGCCAGCCTGGTCTACATAGTGAGTTCCAGGACAGCTGGGGCTACAGGGAGACCCTGTCTCAAAAAAGTCAAAAAAAAAAAGAATGGAAGGAAGAGCTCCACTACCCCATCAGACCACCAGGCTCAGGAAAGCATCAGTCTTTCCTTACACAAAAGTCTTACAGGGTATGGTGACGTTAAAAGATTCAAATTCCTTGTCATAAACAGGTTCCGAGTCTTGCAAGGTTTGAGAAAAAAGACTAATATTTATTGTTTCTTTTTTTTTTTTTTTTTTTTTTTTTTTTTTTTGGTCTTTTTGAGATCCTCCTGCCTCTGCCTCCCGAGTGCTGGGATTAAAGGCATGTGCCACCACGCCTGGCTATTTACTTTTTTTCACATTCCTCATACATCCCCCATCCAACTTTATGTCCTTAATTTTTTTTTAAATTTTATGTGTATGAGTGTGTTACCTGAATCTAAGTGCACCCTTATTGTGCAGTGCCCAAAGAGGTCAGAAGAGAGCATCAGAACCCCTGGAACCAGAGTTATGGAAGGTTGTTAGCTGCCATATGGGTGCTGGGAACTGAACCTGGGTCCTCTTCAAGAGCAGATAATGCTTTTAACTACTGAGCCATTTTTCTAGTCCCTTAAAAATGAGTCACTGGACCCTCACCTGAGTATCCAGCCACTCTTCCTATCCAACTAGTCCAGCCTTTGAAGACAAAAGAAAAATGAGGAGAAACCCAATAGAGGGATGCTTTTGGAAGCCCTTGTCAAGAAACTCCAATGGACTCTCATATGAACATTTGAAAATTGCCCTGTTCTGACTTTTTTCTAGTTCTCTGTCTAGAACTTGTAATGCTATTAGCATTATTACCTTTATTTCTCCTTTACATTTCCCATTCATGATTCAAGGACTTTCTTCT